CTTTCCCTCTTCCTTTTTTCTTTCATCTTTTCTTTCCCTTCTCTCTCTCTTCTTTCTCCTCTTTCTACTTGTTCTCTTTTTCTCTCCTTTTTCGTTCTCTTTTTCTCTCTTCCCTTTTTTCTCTCCTTTCTTTTTTCTTTTTTTCTTTCTCTCTCTCTTTTTTCTTCTCTCATCACAGCTTGCTTAACAAAAAAGAATATACAAGAACAAAGGTAGTATATGAAGTTTTATTTATTGTCATCAGGTTTAGAATTTTTAGAAAACCTGTTAGTTTTTGGGTTTTTTTTTACAGTAAATAAGGCAACATTTATCATTATTAACTATATAAATATATGCAGTGCATTCTGCCATGTATCTCTTGCCCTGGTTTTGTTTTGCTGGCACGCTAGCACTCTGGCATGTCCCAAGATTTTATAGCTATACAACTCCGCTGTCCTACTTCAAGTCCCTCTGAAGTATGTGGGATACAATGTGCTAATACTTTTCCCTAGGACCTGGTTATTTGCATCTATAAAGTTATTCTAAATCATTCCCTGGACAAACTGGCCAGGCTGCATTCTTTCTCTGGCTACCTACTTGGCAGAGAAACAGAAATCCAGCCTGAAAAGGGCAGTGTGGGTAAATGACTGTACTGCACCTGTTTTGATCCTGGTCAAACCCTGGGTTCATCAGGTTCTTGTCAGCCTACAGTGTCTCCCTGTTCTACAAAGCAGGAGCGAATTGCTATAAGGACATCTTTTAATGGCCTGAGAAAATAGTTTGGCTGCTGAAAAAATTATGAGTTATGGGGATTTTGGGAATGGTATGGGTGAACTACCAAATCTGAGCCTGGCCTTGTACTTAGCTCTACATAAGCTTTTGAAAATAAGTATTATTGATTGAGGCTGTGGTGTACATTGGACCATTGCTTGAATTGGATAAATGACCAGGAATAAGCAGTCTTTGTACACTCAGCTGTTAGATTTGTAGAAATCTTTCTCCCTTTTCCCTTCCACCCACCCTCATTTTAATTCTCAGGGTGAAGAAACAAACTTTTAGAAATCAATGGCTGTACAGATCAGATTTAGTCCCTGTATTGTCCCATGGTCAAGTGAAAAATGCATTATAGCTATAGCAGAAGCCCCTGAAATTGTTGTAAAGAAATCCCAATGTATGGGTATGGCCCATTGTTCATCTGTAGTGCTACAAATGGTGCATCTACACGTTGCCCTACAATGACATTGCTACTGTGCTGTGCTTTACCATCACTAAAGCACAGTGCATTAACTGCCTGAACTGCACCGTATACGTGACACCTGGTTATTTTTTAGCAGCTACCTCGCTGTAGCAGCACGCTATAATGGGGAACATGCTGCTATGGTGAAGTAGCTTCTGGTCATGTGTAGGCATCCATGGACACTGTGGCGATATAGCGTTACATGTAGACACGCCCAAAGTGTCTGTAGCACTTTATAACACTATAAAAAAAATTAGCTGTATAGGGTCATGCCAGGCTTCTGGCTCCCTGGCTAGAGAGTTACAAAGTTTCCTTGAAGAGGAGCTGTCTGTTCAGGGAGTGATAAAGAGGCTGCTCCTTGGGTTCCCCTGCCCACAGGGGAGCCTGATCACCAGGGATCCTGGTTTTCCGTTCCCATGGAAAATCCCATGGATTTCCCCTTTTTATCAGAGAAAACATGAATTTCTCCTTTTAGCAAAGAAGCCCACGGATTCCCTGCTTTTACAAACAGCTCTGCAGGCTGGTTGAGCTCCAGCCTGCAAGAGCTGTTTGCAAACAGGGCAGGGAACCCTCAACCCTAACAGGAGGGGAAGGGGGAGGAGGAAGGGCAGGGCCTGAGGCTCTCAGTCAGCCACAGCTCTGATCAGCTCAGCTTCACTCTTCATTCCTGGAGCCTAAGGTAAGTGGGGCTTGCAGGGGGCTGGGGACCCCTCTGGCAGGGCTCCTTGATGATTCTCTCCAAGATCTTCCCGAGCACCGAGGTGAGGCTTACAGGCCTATAGTTACTTGGGTCCTCCTTCCTCCCTTTCTTAAAAATTGGGACCACATTAGCTAGTTTCCAATCCTTCGGCACCTGGCCAGATGACCACGAATTCTCATACAGCCAGGCCAGGGGCTCCATGATGACCCCTGCCAGCTCCCTCAACACCCTGGGGTGGAGGGCATCTGGACTTGCAGATTTAAAAGTGTTCAGCCCTTCCAGAAGATCCCTAACTACATCTGCGCTGACCAAAGACCTGACAGAGCTATCCCCGAGATTTGTCCCTACCTCTGGTAGGATGGATGTCCCG